GTGGTGCTGGCTCAAGTTAAGTGCAAATAAACCCCTTGAGCGAACTTTCTTTTAATAGTTTTCGTGGAAATATAAAATATTTATCTGCACGTTTAAAACTAGGGGGGAAATGTGTGAAGGGCCCAAAAACACTAACTTCATGTACTGCAGCCTCTTCATTTTTTTTCTCCATGTGGTTCAGCCTCTTAAAATGTGACATCTTGTGTTGCAGCTCTTTTTTAGCATTTATTACATACCAACTAAGTGAAAATCCCCAAATTGTCCTTATTCCCTCTCCCCAATCCCTCAACCCCCTCCCCCCGGCCTCTCTCTAAAACCAAGGGTTTTCTCAAGCTCGTCGTCCTGGCCCTCGCCCTCCTCGCCGTCGCCGCCTCCTCCAGGCCCTCATGCTTCCCCTCGAGTTCGCCGCGTGGCGCACGCCCACGCCATGCTGCTAAAGTGCGCCGAGTGACGACACGAGTTCGGCGTCGGCGTAATCATTGACGAGGAGCTTGGGTTCAAGGAGCTAGAGGTGGTCGTGGTTACATGTACGGCTGGGATCGAGATGGGCATCCTGTTTGCTACAATGCGTATGGGGTTTTCAAAGACAGAGAGATGTACAGTAAAGTTTTCAGGGACAATGAGAAATTGAAAAAGGTTTTGAGGTGGAGGGTGCAAATAATGGAGAGGGGAGTCAAGTTGTTGTAGCTAAAGGCTAGAGGCGTTAATTCTATTATTCAAGTCACTGATCTTAAGGACATGCCAAAGAGAGAGCTTAGAGTTTCCAGTCAGATCTTGTCACTGTTTCAGGATAATTATCATGAAATGGTTGCTCGAAAGGTGGATTTTTTTGGGTTTTTTTTGATGATTTCTGTGTCTGGGTTTTGATTTTTATGGGGAGATTTGCGATGGGTTTGTTTGAAAATTTTTTGTAGGTCTAATACATGAAATTAGATTTAACAGTAACTTTCATTAGACCTAATACAGTTAGAACTAACACAGTTAGTGTTAGAACTAACATGAACCGAGTTAAAACTAACACAGTTCGTGTTAGTTCTAATTTATGTATTAGACATAACACGAACTATGTTAGTTTTAACTCGATTCATGTTAGTTCTAACACGAACTGTGTTAGTTCTAACTTGGTTCATGTTAGGTCTAATTTCATGTATTAGACCTAACACGAACTGTGTTAGTTCTAACTCGGTTCATGTTAGTTCTAACACGAACTGTGTTAGTTCTAACTCGATTCATGTTAGTTCTAGCTGTGTAATAGACCTAAACACGAACTGTGTTAGTTCTAACTTGGTTCATGTTCTCCTCTCTCTATAGAGGGTTCTCCATAGAATCTTTTTCTGGATACTTTGATATTTAGTGTCTTGGAAAAGTCAACTATATCTCTTAGTTATTTTAAGCAGCTGTGTTTATAGTTTGTTTCTCTTTACATGCGATGTTTATTAGCTTCCTTTTATTTAATAGTGCAAATACCTTCTAGATACCATAGATGTAGCTGATGGGAGGTAGCAAAGGTCATCATCAGGCTGTGAATGCTGGGATTATAATCCCATGGACTTTGCTCCCACTATTTGTTATCTAGTTAAAATATTTTCAGCGTAGCCCATTATTTATTGTGTTTATAAAGAGAGTCAAAAAGAAAATAAAAGGAGTATCATGCTCCAAAGAGATTGCGACTAATGTTTGTTTGTTGGGAAATTTGTAATAAGAAAATTGAGAACAAAAAATGCGTTATTCTCTCTAACTGACTTAGACAAAGAATGATTACAATGCTCTCAATATAATTTCTCTCTAACAGAATTAGAAAAAGAAAATACAATCTTCTTGTATTGGAATCCTGATTTACAAAAGAGAAGAAGATCAACGGAGATCTTCCCCTTTGTTTAATTTTGTGTTCTTCACGGTAGCGATGAGTTGCCTCCCTCTAATGCTCGTGCTAAGTTTGCTTCTCGTTGACGATCCAAACGTCTTGAACTCGTGGAACACGATTGAATCCTCTTGATTGATGTCGAGGATAACTTGCGTGGCAAGTTTGAAAATAACTATTAACGAGTTTAAGAACTCTAAACGAGTTGATAACTCAGAGCGAGTTTAAACTCTTGAAAAAGAATTGATTTGAACCGAAAATCGGTTAATAGCCAAGGATAAAAGTGTTTGGTGGAAAATTCGAAGTAAGTAAAATGAAAGAAATTGACTTGTATTCTCTCGATCTCAATTACAATTGGATTCCGATTACAAAAGAGAGGAGAATTGATTTGAATTCTCCCCTTTGTTTAATTCTGGGATCTTCACGGTGGCGATGGAGTACCTCCCTCGAATGCTCGCGTCGAATTTGCTCTCCGTTGATGATCCACACGTCTTGATTCGCTGGAATGGTATCTTCTCCTCACGATTTGACGCTGTGGAGAACTTGCATGGTAAGTTTGAAACTCTTGATGAGTTGATAACTCTGAACGAGTTTGAAACTCTATGAAAGAGTTGATTTAACCAAAATCGATTTGTAAGCCAAGGACGAGCTCCTCGTTGCTGAAGTTGAAGATGATCTCCCTTGGAGAATGATGTCGATCCCTTCAGGCCCTTTCTGCTCCAAGAAATTCCCCCTTTGCTGCCAAGTCTCAGATCCAAAAAGCCCGCCCAAACTCAGTTGAGTTTACCCCTATTTATAAGGGATTAAGGGGTGTAACCTCCCCCTTAATTCCCTTCTAAGTGGGGCTGAATGGGGTGTAACCTCCCCCTTAAACAGCTCCCCGAATCGTGGGGAAAACGGTTTTGAAACCGTTCAATTCGTGTTTTGAACGAGTCAAACGCTGAAAAATAGCGTTCAGGGCCCGAACTCTGCGTTTTAGACTTGAAACGCAGAGTTTGGCCTATTTTGATAGTTGAACGCACAGATCGCGCTGCGTAGAAATGAACTCTGCATTTTGGGCCTGGGACGCAGAGTTGAGCTCTGCATGAACGCTGCGTTTTGAGTCTGGGACGCAGAGTTGAGCTCTGCATGAACTCTGCGTTTTGAGTCTGGAACGCACAGGTCACGCTACGCAGAAATAAACTCTGTGTTTTGGGCCTAGAACGCAGAGTTGAGCTCTGTATGAACTCTGCATTTTGAGTCTGGGACGCAGAGTTGAGTTATGTATGAACTCTGCGTTTTGAGACTGGGACGCAGAGTTGGACTCTATGCGAACTCTGTGTTTTGAGTCCACGAACTCTGCGTTTTGATGTTGTAACATAGGGATGACCTCTGCATTTTGAGGTGGTAATGCAGGGAGGACCTCTGTGTTTTGCTTCTGGGAGTTTGGAACGCGGCCACGAGCTATGCGTTTTGAATCTGGGACGCAGAGGTGAGCTCTGCGTTTGGATTTGAAGAGGCTGTCAATTTATAGTCTCTTTTGCTAAAGCGTTGCAAAGACCGTCACCTTGTAATTTTCATCTTGGCTCCTTAAAAATATGAGAATCATCAGATTATAGCTCCCGATGTTGATTGTGAAGGTTGTTGATTAGAGATTTCATCAGTTGTTGTGAATGTCGTCAGATTGTAACCTTCATCGATCTACGTAAAAGTTTTCAAATTGTAGCCTTCTGGAAGCCGTCGAATTGTAACTTCCATCATCAGTGTTTGATAAGGATCAGCTATCTATTGTGATTTTTAGATAGCCTACAAAAAGCTCCATGTTGTTGAACGTCGCTGAAGGATGAACGCTGATCTCCCCCTTTGCAATTTTATGCCAGAAGCCGCTCAGTGGTCTCTGATCTTGATCTGCCCAAAAAAGATCCTAAACTCTTCTAAGTTTTGAGGTCCTTATAGAGGATTAAGGGGTGTAACTGCCTCCTTAATCCGCTCTTAAGTGGGGCAGAAATCCCTCTAAACATGGGGGAAACGGTTTCTGAAACCATTCAGCTCGTGTTTGAACGAGTTAAACACCGAAAATGGCGTTCTGGGCCCGAACTCTGTGTTTTAGAACTGAAACGCAGAGTTGGGCATGTTTTGGCGGCTGAGAACGCACAGGTCGCTTTGCATTTTGAATCTGGAATGCAGAGTTGGGTTCTGCGTTTTGGGTTAAAAACGCAGCAATGAAGTATGTGTTTGGATATTGTAACGCAGGGAGGACCTCTGCGTTTTGATGTTGAAACGCAGGTCTAACCTCTGCGTTTTGATATTGCAACGCGGGGAGGACCTCTACGTTTTGATGTTAAAATACAGGTCTGACCTCTGCGTTTTGACGTGAAGAGACCATCAATTTGTGGTATCTTTTGCTAGAGCGTTGCAAATATCATCATCTTGTAATCTTCTTCTTGGCTCCTTGAAAATATGAGAATCGTCATATTGTAACTCCCGATGTTGATTGTGAAGGCTGTTGATTATAACTTTCATCAGTTGTTGCAAAGGTCGTCAGATTGTAACCTTCATCGATCTATGTGAAAGTCTTTAAATTATAGCCTTCTGGAAACCGTCTAATTGTAACTTCTATCATGAGTGTTTGATGGGGGATCAGCTATCTGCAGTGATTTTTAGACAACCTACAATGTTTAGTGGTTTATTTTGAGTTGCTCATATTATTTGTTCTGCCACAAACATTTTCAATTATTTGTGTAGAATCGTGGTTTTTTGCTATCATAAGTTATTCTCTGGAGTTCTCATACTTTGCCTATACTCATGCTTGACCATGACCATAATTTGTGAGGAGTCCGCCATCATATTGTTCAAGAGAAGTGGTAACAGCAGTGCCATGTTGTGTTTTGTGAAAGCAGTTTCGATCTTTAAGATATAACTTCTTAAATTTCCTACGCAATGTTAACTATACTAATTGTAATGAGGTTTTACTTTGATGATTACAAGCATGAGAAGTCCAGAATCTTAAGTCAGGTTCTTAACTCAGTTTCTGTATTAGACCTAACATAAAATTAGACTTAACACGAATTTTTATTAGACCTAACATAGCTAGAACTAACATGAACCGAATTAGAACTAACGCGGTTCGTGTTAGAACTAATATGAACCGAGTTAGAACTAACACGATTCATGTTTAGTTCTAATACACAGCTAGAACTAACATGAACCGAGTTAGAACTAACATAGTTCGTGCTAGGTCTAATAAAAGTTCATGTTAAGTCTAATTGGAGTTCATGTTAGTTCTATTTTGTATTTGTGTTAGTTCTAACTCATGTTAGGTCTAATTGGGTTCATGTTAGTTCTAACTCAATTCATGTTAGTTCTAAATAGTTAGTTCTAATTTAGAACTATCAGGAACTGAGTTAGAACTAACAGGAACTAAGTTAGAACTAACAGGAACTAAGTTAGAACTAACATGACCCCAATTAGACCTAACATGAGTTAAAACTTATTTCAATAAAAAATCAAAACTAGAACCCAATGAATACATCCAACATTCCAGATACCAGGCATATATCAAAATCAAAACCTAACAAAAACTGCAAGAACCCAGAATGTTGAGTCATTTGGCAAAAAATAAAAACAAATGAAAAGAAAGAAAGGAATAGAAGATTGAGCTTTATGAAGAGAAAACAGAGGGCCAACCTACAAACTACCGAAGCAAGAGGAAATAAATGGTGAAGCACAAAATCCGAGCATCGAGGAATGACATAAGAGTTTTAGAAAGGAGGGAAAAGAATAAGTAAAAAAACCAACATGTTACATGCAGAAGCTTAACACTCTCCCACGAGCTACAAATGCTACAGGTCATAGGGATCAACGTGCACAGACAACACTTTGAAAGATAAAGACAGTTCTATGGCTTCACCATATTTTTCCTCATGACTAACGGATCGGACTCCGGGGGCGCTAGAGCCATCAGAGGGGGTTCCAGAGGGAGGCGAGCCCACGGGGCCGGCGCTGGGGCACCTACAGGGGGCCATGGTGGAGGAGAAGGAGGGGGTTGGTGGGGCCGCGGTGGGTGGGAGGAGGCGACGACGGCGAGGAGGGCGAGGGCCAGGGTGACTGAGCTTGAGAAAGCCCTTGGTTTTAGAGAGAGAGAGAGAGAGAGAGAGAGAGAGAGAGAGAGGAGAGGAGAGTTCGTGAGAGAGAGAGAGGGTTGGGGTTTGAGAGATTGAGGGGAGGGGATAATGATATTTTGGGGATTTTCACTTAGTTGGTATGTAATAATTGCTAAAAGAGTGTTGCAGCACAAGATGTCACATTTTAAGGGGCTGAACCACGTGAGGGAGAAGTGAAGAGGCTACATCACATGAAGTTAGTGCTTTTTGAGCCTTAGACACATTTTTCCCTTAAAACTACAGAAGGTGTATCCGCTATTGGAGGATATACAATGGGGATCTATCCTAACCCTTATATAAAAGCATTTTTCCAGTTGCATTCTCATGGATATTTAATATTTTGAAATTGGTCTCTCAAATCATTCAAATTGCTATTAGGTCCCTCAAATCTCGTTAATTTGGCTCAATTAGCCCATCAATTAGTTTTATCTTTAATGTCCCAAGTTGGGTTGGTTGTTAATCACACTTAGTTAAAAAGAAAATACCCGGATAAATGTTTTTCCACAAAATTATCGCAAGATTTCTTGAAGATTTTGTAGAATTGAGAGAGTATGAGACCATTGTGAAAAAGGGCTGAGATAAAATAAGTTTCGATTTTAAAGTAGCACGTATGGATTTAATCCTGGTCAGAAAACGAATTAGATTTGAGTTAACTAAAACATAGGAATATAAGTAGAAACCTCATAGAAAAAGGTTAAAGTAGAGGGAATATTCCCCTGAAATCTAATGTCTTACTAAGGTGGGGGAAAAAATTACAAAATACAACTTGAGAGATCTAATAGCACTTTCAATAATTGAGGGATCCATTTTAAATATTAACGATTCTGGGGCCGTGTACAGAACACTATATAGTAACAAAAGACAAATGAAAGCTTGCAAGGGGGTGGCTGATAATAGTGACACTATAAAGCCAAATGGCTCTTGATCACTCCCTAATATTTATTAATTAATCAGTCAATTATTAGGTTTTTAGATGAACCCACATATGAATTATTCAACCCCTCCCCCTCCCTCCCTCTCCCCACACACACACACAAGGGAAAAAAAACAGTTGGTGGTGCTCATCTTGAGAAAAATTTCACCTATGTAACTCCGGTAAAGTCCTAGCCTAGCTTAGTTGTAGACCATTCCTCCTTGGGTGCTCAATTAAACCAATTTAGAGGCCTAAAATTAAACTAGAAAATTTGTCATTTCTAACTCAGTTTTTGCCAATAATATACTCGATCTCTAAAACGACACCAAGTTCATACCTGACTCTGGCTTAAAGAGATGCCAAACTGACCCTTAATGTGCAAGAGATATCAATCCTTAGATCTGTGCACAAATCTCAAAATCCAATAATCCAAGGTTGATATCCCTTTAATGCACATTTAATACCCTAGACCGGTTCATCAGATACTTTTTGATCCCTCAAAAGTGAATATTCACAAGCATGGGCCCAAGCAAAATGACAGACAACTCGGTATCGCAAGAAAGTAGGGACATGGTGACTGTGATTTGTTTCCAAACTTACATTTAGAAAGAAAAGAAACAGGAAAACAAAAGCTATGAGATGAAGGATACCTGCACTTCATAACAAGATAGCTACAGCCGACCAAGTGAAATGTTTGCACAATACACTTATGAAGGACGCAGCATTACCTTCAGCGCTCCAAAAAGTACTATAAATATTAGGACCCAACATGCATGCACCAATTCCGAAAGCATTGCCAGACTAACATAACCAAGTAAAGCGGCATGACAAAACTTTAGAATTATTCATCCAATAAGCTCAAGCATCTAAACTTTCTAACAATTCACAGCAAATTAAAAAATGCAGAAAAAGATAAAGATAGATGAAACCAAATGTTTCTAACTTTAAGGTTGCTCTCTGGTCCATTTCGGAAGGGGAAAAAAGATAACACTCTAATCTCTATAAGTTATGTGTGCTTCAGGAGTGATGATATCTGATCCCAGGACGAAATTCTTCAGATGTTGGAGTTAACATTTCAATCAGATGGACCTTCTCCTCTTTCACCATTTTTCCTCTCCTTATATTTAGCCCATAGCCAGCGCGCAACCATGAATCCACCGAGTGCATACACCTAAAAGAAGCAGAGACCAATCTCAATAAGTTTGAAAGTAAGAAACCTCAAAACTGATAGAATCAGGCTGCTTCAAATTTTCTGCATCCTTGATTGTACAGAAATCCTACAATCAGTTGTGCTGATTAATAGTATTGCTTCATTCAGTGAGCCCACAATTAAAAGATACTTTATATAGTTCGTGTAAACACTGGCATTCATAAGGTCCACAAGAATAAAGAGATTTTGGCGTAAATAACCAATCTGTAGGATTTCTCTACAACCAAGGATGTAGAAGATCCCTAACTGAAACAGTAAACTATATACATATTATTGCATAGGTATTTAAACCAATTCTACATTAAAACATATACAAATCGTCAACTTAGTGGCAGAACTACTACAATAGTCAAGTGTCATATACACAAGAGACAAGACATCCAACTAGATACAAGCATGTGACTAAAGGATTATCAGTAACTGGATTTTCCAGATGGTTATCCAATTGTTCGACAACAATCCATGAAAATTCAGCAATTTGTCCCAAGATCAGAATGTCTCAATCCTTATAAGTTCTCCATAGCATCACCTGTTAATACTCTCAATACATGCCAGCAATGAGCTGGTTTAGCAAAGGAAAGTGAAACCTGAGTTGCCACAAACCAAACCAAGCCCATGCAAAATGCCTTTAGACCTTAGACCTAAACCCCACGTGCTAGTGTGACCTGTGCCATCCACATTCTGTAACCCTCCAACTTGGTTATCATAGAGAAATGACATAGCTTTTCTTTCATCAGGAGTAGATCTCTACGCAACAAAAAAAGGAAATAATAAACCTTGACAATGCATGCCATCCATTTCTTGCAAATTGATGACTAGGAAAGAATATCAGACACGTTTTCATTTGTATGTTTGAATAATTTTAATAGTGCGCATCAAGATGAGTGTGAAATTGTGAATATCTGATCCAAATAGCCATTATGGTATTTAGATCAGCATCCTTCTAGACAGCCGAGTCTCTAAAATTTAGCATATCCCCTCTCTCAATACGCTATCGCCATCAAAGACTTTTGCAGTCAAATGGCTTTCGAGCATAGCTAAAGTCAAGATAGATCAATGAAACAATTGTCAATTTCTTCACGGTCATTTCTCAACCTGACTTTTCTTCCTAACAAGTTTTCTTCATCTAGAGGATGATCTTACCCCCAATTATATGTCGATTACGCATTCAGCAAGTAACTTAGAAATAGGGAAAAGAAAGTAATAGACTCATAGGCTTACTTGTAGAAAAGATTAGACGAAGAAATAAGCATTGGGTACAGAAAGCTGGAGAGTTTATTTGAGTACAAGAAAAGAAATACAGGTGGGAGGTAGACCTTAGTAAGGTTCTCAATCAGGAGGGTAACAGAGTCTAGCAAATTGACAACATTAACCTAAAAACACAATGGTCCTAAATAATCTAGGAAAAATATATGTCTAAGTAACCCAAATGTAAAGTTTTTTGAAGGAGCATGTCATGCAGAAATAAATAAGGCAAAAGGAACTTGCTTGTAGTATAATGTGTCTTTAACTTATAAGATTTGTTTAAAAATAAGAACAATAACAAGGGTTATAAATGGAGCGGCGGATACAAACTGGATACCTTGATATCCAAATAAATCATCATTGTCAATTTGACCTATTTGAGGAATGCAGTTCCTTAACACCTTGCATGATTGCAGCCTATTTGAGGAATGCTATTCTTGTTTGGCACCCTATTTGATGAATGTTTTTCCTTAACGTGTTGCTTACTTGTCATGACACCGGAATGGGATTGATAACATTGATGTAACACGTCATTTTAAGGGACACTGCAATTATAGGTGCAAAAAAATATATGTATTTTTGACGAAATATCCGCATCCGTACCCATTAGGATAATGACGTGGTTACTAAAATCTTTAATATATGTGTAAGGAAATATCTGCATTCGTACTCGTTAGGTTACGGATGTGGTTACTAAAATCTATATCTGATAGGATATGATGGTCACGAATATGGATATGTCATGAAATATCTGAATCCATGTCCGAAATATCCAAAAATATGTTGGTCATACAATTGCAATAATTGTCACCCTTAGATCAATGGATTTGAGGTTAATTTCAATGATCAAGAGATCTAATCTTATGTTTTCTAATATAACAAACATACTAATGAACTCTCTTGTATCATATGAACTATATTTTTTCAATATTATCTGGTTTCCTCAAATCTATTTTGTATCTGCTTATATATACGCATGTAAATCTGTATCATTATCAAATTTTTAGCATATATGGATATAAATTTTTGTTATCGAGGCATATATGTGTCCATATACGTATCTGTGATTGGTAAGTGGATACAGATATTATAAGTATCATATCAGAGTCGTATCCAAACCACATTCACTCTGGTGCAATGCAGCTAAGATTATGGAGAAAAGAATATAATAGTATAGTAATATAAGTGGGAAAATGTAGAATACATTAAATAGAGTGCCCACCAAAATATCCATATCCACTCCAGTTATAAGCAAAACAACTATTGATAGCACTCGAAACTATTTGCATACTTGTCGTTACTATGCATATTATTTTGAACAAAGGCATATACAAAGAGGATTCGGATAGTGTAACTAGTTACACCTCTAATAATAACATGATAGCTAATTATACATGTGTAAGATGTCATGTTGCATGTACGTTTGCGTGGTATATCAGTTGGAATCAGTGTTTTTAAAGCAAAAGACGATGTTAATGTGATAAGGTCCTATCACTTATGTTACCTGAGGCAAGAAGCGCCAACAAAAGGCGATCACCTGAGGGGTTGTTTGGTTCATTTCCTAGAAACCTAAGTTTGGGAGATTACTAATGTGATACAATACGTATACAGGTAAGAAGAACAGTGACAACAATACTACACCAAATCAGCGATCGATCTAGGCAGGAACCTCAAGAAGAAAGTGGAGCTCTAGATGGTTTTAAACAAAGTGCAATGTACTAAGCTTACAACCTTGTAAATTTTTCAGAAAAGAAATGTAATATTTTATTATTGTAATAAAAGTTTGACCGACTTGTAATATTTAAATCAACAGATATACGAGGCAACAAATTCACTCTCTCACTAATCAAGCAGAACACAACACAATAGCAGTTGATATTGTAATTGATAATAACATGCACACAATGGCAGTTTCTAAAGTACCGGGTTGAGAGAAAACGAAACATTCATCGGTCTGAACAGGCTCGACATGAGGGACCTCTGGAGGTGGTGCGACGACGCCGAATATAATGGGAGGGGGATCTCCTCCGAGAGCTATGTAGCTGGGGTGAAGAGGTGCATCTAAGTGGAAACGTCGGTGCCACGAACTGATTCCCAGACGGCTCTCCACACTATCAGCGATCTGAGGGGTCACGCGATCGATGTACTCTGCTAGGGTGTCGAAAGGCTGGTAGTCAAACCACTGAGAGAGTTGCGGATCTACCACGTCGGTCTCTAGGTTGTACACGAATTAGGCGTCTTCGACTGCAGGATCGACCATGCACCAATGAGCCGCGGAGTCAGGGTTCGAATCGGACTCGAATTGGATTCCAAACGGGTCTGAACAGGCTTTGAATCAAGTGTGAAGCATTAACGGATCTGTTACCATTGCGGGTTGGATCTGAGCCGAAAATCAGATCCAGTTGAACCGGATTTGGGCCTGATCAAAACAGGTCAGATCCAAATTGCCTTTTCTGCTTTGTTTTCGATCTGAGTAAAAGAGGGGGTGAGCGATTAAAGAATGGCGGTGGCGGAACAGGAGGGAAGGGGAGTCAGCGGGGCTGTTCGGAGATGGAGGAAGAGGAGGAAGTAGGAAACACCCTCTGGTGGACAGCATACCTATCTGGTTTTGAGTTGAAATTTGAATTATGGTTCAGATTTAGTAGTTGATTCAGTTTTAGCAGTTTAGATTTGAAATTTGAATTTTGGGTCAAATTTAGTAGTAGAGTTAGTTTTGACATTTGAGTGATTTTAGGGATTTCAGAATTTGTATTTTTTTTTATTTTAAGCACTGCTGTAATCAAAAAAGGTTAATGAAGATTTTGAATAAAATTTTGACTACCTGAAAGTGTTGAGAGCGTGTGAAACCTCGCGGGTGTGAAACCCTAGCCGC